TATTCAACAGACTCCCAGTTAATTTAGTTAGGGTGTAATCAGAGTCTAGCTGACTTACTAATGCCAGTATCTTGCTAACCACAAACACATAATGTTTAAGAGGATCTAGTCCCTCTGGATCAATCATAGCATAAAATCTACTTGCATCACAGTGACTGTGCTTAATAAACATTCATGAGGTCTTTGAGTGCACTGGCATTTTTATATAGCTTTATAACAACACAGCAAACAAAGTAATGGCAGCCTACTGGGCTGACAGTTCAAATGAATGTGGCATTTAAGTTATATTGCATATTGTGTCTACATCATGGTAAAAAGAAAAGTACACCCTCTGTCAGTTCCAAAGTTTTATATATCAGGGAATAATAAAAGATTCTCTAGAATTTACCAGGTCTTAAAATGATGTAACAATTTGAGGTGAAGTCTTGTGTATTTATTTAACAATAATGCAGAAGCAGTGTTTGGAAAGCTGACTCTACAATACTTTGGGATAAAGAGGAGTTCATGGTAGACTGCAAAACAAGCCCAAATAGAGAATAGAATAGAATAGAATAGAATAGAATAATCCTTTGATTGTCCCACAAGGGGCAATTTGATTGTAACAGCAGCCAAAAAGACACATATACAAACAAACAGTACACAGGACACGGAACAGAAACATACACAGTTTTTCTTACATATTTACATTAAGGACAATGGTTACTATAAACAGAGAGTACTGTACAGTTATTAAATTAAATAAAAATAACTACAGATAAGAGGCAAACCAGGTTGTAGTGCGAATCAGTTAATTAACTTATTGCAGTTACAGCGCAGATGTAAACATCTGTGTTTGTTGGGAGCAGTTCTGATTTACAGTCTGACAGCTGCAGGGAGGAAGGACCTGCGGAAACGCTCCTTCATGCATCGAGGATGCAGCAAATCATTACTCTACCGCTACTAGGGATGGGTATCTGTCAGCCGGTGATCAGCTGATCGCCAGCTGATCACGGGGCCGGGTTTAAAAGGGAGACGCCACCCACCTGTTCGCCGCTCAGACATCGTTCTCCTCATGTCAGAAGCTCCAACTCTTTGCCGACGTCAGTGTCCTTCTGATTCAGCAACCGTGAGTGTTTTCCCTCTCGATTCTTTTTCTGTAACGCCAGTCCGAAGCCACGCTTCATGCACTGACCGTTACTAGATTAACTGCGTGTCTGTTCCTACCCATCGCTAGCCTTCCCCGCGTTTGGGTCTAACCAGCACGCCACAC